GGAAAAACCAAAACTTAGAAAGACGTTAGATGTCTTACTGAAAGGTCACACCACCAGTCGGAGGTAGACCTGCAGGTGGTACCCCCTATAGCTGTATGTCCCCTTGGCATGCCAGACATCCTGACCAGGCCAGCCTTCTGTCGGTGGTATGCAGCCTGGGGACATTCTGTCAGTGGTAGCTGCAGCCTGGGCATAAGCCCAAGTCTGTGTTCTAGCCTTGGGGACTTTGGAAGGCCATGAAGCCAGAGGCCCATTTAGCATTGTTTCTGGAGCTTCTGAAATCACACATAATCAATGACTGTGTGATCACATGGATTACCATCCATCCCTTCAGTATAACCACATGAATAATGCAAGTGATACACGTGGATTCATTGCTGATAACTGAATATTTACTCCAAAGATATGTGTATGCATTTCAGACGTAACTGGGAAGGAAAAATCTCCTTAGATACTTTGTATGTTGAGATTTTATCAGTCAGTAGAAAAAGATAAATGTATATTTATTGTTGCAAGGGCAAATCGCTACAATAATTAATGATGTTTGTGGAAGCTGCAAATTTTTAATCCAGAAGGTTATTGATAACTTTTAAGTAGTTAAATAGGGAAGTAGATTGACAATTAATACTGAATATTATGAGACTACATTAACTAGATAAGTTTAGGAATATATAGGAATATACTACTGTATATCCTTTTTGAACCAACAAATGTTTGTAAAAATTAAATGATAATACAAGGCAGAATAATGGAAAGTATATTTTATAAATCTAATCTTTTTAGGATTGTTTGGGGTACTAAATTTATTTCATAAAACAAGATATTCTATAAGAAGTGTATTTAATTTTTAGTAATTTAACTCCGTTTAGGCCAGGATTCTTGCTTCCCTGCGGGACTCAGTTGAAACTGTCTCTTAAGAATTGCCAATGTGCAGCCCAGTAACAGAGTCTAGCAGCTGAGAATGCTGAGCAATGTTTAAAACCAAACCTGTTTCACTGAGTTCATTGCAACTCATAGCGACCCTATGGGACAGAGTAGAACTACCCCACAGGGTTTCCAAGGAGCAACTGGTGGATTCGAACTGCTGACCTTTTGGTTAGCAGCTGAGCTCTTAACCACTGTGCCACCAGGGCTCCGAGCAATGTTTACTGCACTAAAACGTCAAACTTTAAAAATCCACTCAAAAAACTTTTGACAAAGACGAAAAACATAAAGTCTCAGCAAAAACAAAACCTACAAAAACAAAACAAATGAACACAAAATCCACAAACAAGAGTAACTCAGCACAAGAGAGTAAGAAGAACAAAGAAGACTTCAGCACCACAAAAAAA